CACACAATAACCAGGTAGAAGTTTCTTTCTTGGGTTTATTGTTTGAAGAATGGGGATGGAGAATAGGGTGAGCCTTGGCATACATCAGAATTAGTGCAACTTAAACTGAGGACACACTCTAGAAGAACTAACTTCTTCATAGTAGGCCTCTAATAGTAGAGCATGTGGCTGCAGGGGGATCCCACACTGGAAACAGCCATAAGTCAGAAAGTCTGGAACAGTCTCTCCCAAAGAAAACAGCTCAACACAGAAACAGTCTCTCCCGGATCTCTCGCTCAGGCCTCCACTCACTGCGTCCCTGTATACAGAGACACAGTATCAGCCATATGCTTCCAGTATCAGCCATACCCTGTACTGTGAGCCTTCTGGCCAGATCCTCTGCAGACTTTGCTCCAGACTGTTCTTCTAACTTTTAGTAATCACCCCTTCAGCTTTCCCTGAGCTGGGACCGTGTTGAAACATTTGTAGGATCCAAGAGGGCAGACAGCCCCTCCAGTGTGGGTCTATTTCCTTCAGGCAAAGGACCCTACTGTTCTAGGCCCCAGATTATTTATTCCTACCTCAGACCCCTGCTGATCACTTCCCTGACCAGGGACCAGGGATTTGATCACCCCTGTCCTATGTTCCAGAACAACCCACCAGGTTCTGGAGGGCAGAGAGGAGCAATCAAGCTTGCAGCCTGTAAAACCCAGAGTGGCCAAACAACAAGAAAACAATCAACCTGCTCCTCTGACTACAGAGGAGCCAAACTAAATGTACCTAATCTTGCAACAACCTAACTAGGAGGGTGGTACAGGGAGTTAGCCCAATGTGCAGATCTGTGCCAGCTCAGGCCAAGCAGAGATCTGCAACTAATATCTGCGTTAATCCTACCTCTACAACTAAGCTCAATCAGGGAGAAATGCATCAGAGGGGCTTGACCACTGTAGCTGAAGCCTCTGTTAGCTTAGCAGTGGTTGTGGTTAATCTATGTGGTGTACACCCCCTAATTTTGCTATTGGAATTGTCCCATGAGTGAGACATGCTCCTAGAGGGGCTGGAAACTACTGTGAGGAGAATTGATGGAAATATGAATGGAGAAGAACTCTGTGAATGAATGACGTGGCCGTGTGGGCAAAGACCCGTACGCCCGCGCTGTTTTCAAATCTGGCAGATAGCACGGGGAAACTTCTCCCTGTAATATCTGTCAGAGGGAAGGGGGCCAGCGGGTGCGGCTGCAGCTATGGGAACATGTTACATGTTCAGGGGCGGACTGACCATTTGGAAACTCGGGCACTGCCCGTGGGCCCAGGGGTCAGTAGGGGGCCCCATTAGATGCCCCTGGTACCTTTTTCATAGGCTTTTTTGAGTTTGGGCAAGGACACAGGGGCCCCATGATCCCCTATTGCCCGGGGGACCCATGAGTTGTAATCCGCCCCTGTACATGTTCCACCCTATCTGCTATTTAAATATTCTTCATACATCAGATGTAGGCAGTATGGAGGATCCAACTAGCTAAGTGTTAATATTTCATCTAGATCCTTATTAAAATAGCTCAGGCATATATTTTTGGAGCTGCTTCAACCAGTCTTATATTTGGATACAATGATTTCAGGATATCTATATATAATTGTATTTTCTCCAAAGAACGTTATTTCTCCATTCTATATATAATATCCATTAAAATAACTTGTAGAAGTCAATGATCTAATACTAGTAGAACGGTTTATTTTCCTCCAAGAGATCAAAGCAATGTGATACTATCAATTCTCATGATATACTACTAATGCTTTTTCCAAAGTGTAATTAATTTAAAACAATGTTTCAGTTTATCATAATTAACTTAACATGGATGTCAAGGGAGAGCTCTGAACTTCTGACAAGATCTACAGGTTTATTTTGCACTTATCAAACAGATATAACAAAACACGTCCAATAGTATAGCAAAATAGCCCCCCTACCTTAACCACTTGCCCTCCAGAAGATTTGCCCCCCTTCCTGACCAGGCCATTTTTTGCAATACGGTTCTGCATTACTTTAACTGATAATTTGCGGCTATTTGATGCTGTACATAAATTAAATTTAGGTAATATTTTTCCCACAAATGGAGCTTTCTTTTGGTGGTATTTGATAACCTCTGTGCTTTTTATGTTTTGCACTATAAACAAAAAATACTGACAATTAAAAAAAAATTATATCTATATATACAGTTGTGTTCAAAATAATAGCAGTCAGACATCACTAACCTGATCAATCACTGTTTTTGGTATAAATGATATTTCTACATGGCAAATAATTTACTAGCATGTGTAGTAGATTAATAGAAATCCAACGGACCCAACAGTCATGACATGCATGCTGCTGATTCTGTGTAATTGAATCACTAATTGAAAGGGGCATGTTCAAAATAATAGCAGTGTGGAGTTCTATTAGTAAGGTCATTCATTCTTTGAAAAACAGATGGCAATTATTGCCCTTATTTAAGGAAGGAAGGCAGCAAATGTTGTACATGCTGGTTACAGTGCATTTCTCTCTGAAATTCTGGGGAAAATGGGTCTAACCAGACATTGTTCAGAAGAACAGCGCACCTTGATTAAAAAGTTGATTGGAGAGGGAAAACATATAAAGAAGTGCAGAAAATGATAGGCTGCTCAGCTAAAATGATCGCAAATGCTTTAAAATGGCAACCAAAACCTGAAAGACGTGGAAGAAAGCGAAAAACTACCATTCGAATGGATAGAAGAATAGCCAAAATGGCAAGGACTGAGCCAACAATCAGCTCCAGGAAGATCAAAGAAGGTCTAAAGTTACCTGTGAGTACTGTTACAATTAGAAGACTCCTATGTGAAGCCAAGCTATCTGCAAGAAGCCCCCGCAAAGTCCCACTGTTGAAAAAAAGACGTGCTGAAGAGGTTACAATTTGCCAAAGAGCACATTGATTGGCCTAAAGAGAAATGGCGCAACATTTTGTGGACTAATGAAAGTAAGATTGTTCTTTTTGGGTCTAGTGGCCGGAGACAGTTTGTCAGACGACCCCCAAACACTGAATTCAAGCCACAGTACACTGTGAAGACAGCAAAGCATGGTTGCGCAAGCATCATGATATGGGGATGTTTCTCATACTACGGAGTTGGGCCTATTTATCGCATACCAGGGATCATGGATCAGTTTGAATACATCAGAATACTTGAAGAAGTCATGCTGCCTTATGCTGAAGAGGAAATGCCCTTGAAATGGGTGTTCCAACAAGACAACGACCCCAAACACACCAGTAAACATGCAACATCTTGGTTCCAGACCAACCAGATTGACGTTATAGAGTGGCCAGCCCAATCCCCGGATCTTAATCCAATAGAAAACTTGTGGGGTGACATCAAAAATGCAGTTTCTGAGGCAAAACCAAGAAATAGAGAAGAACTGTGGAATGTAGTCCAATCATCCTGGGCTGGAATACCTGTTCACAGGTGCCAGAAGTTGGCTGACTCCATGCAACACAGATGTACAGCAGTTCTCAGAAACAGTGCTTATACAACTAAATATTAATTAAGTGATTCAAAGGAAAGAAAAATCTTCAAACATTTTTCAGTTTATATAGTGAATGTTTGAGTTTGTAAAGAAGAATACAAACACTGCTATTTTTATGTCTTTAGTAAAAAAAAATATCTCAATAAGTGTATAATAATTGGTTTACTTGAAAGTTATAGTGTTTACAAATGGAGGTAAACATACTGGATTTTTTTGTGTTTTTATACTAGTAATGACAGCGATAAGTGACTTATAGCGGGATTGTGTGACTGCAGTGAGCATTCTGGCACTAACTGACACTGGTTGGGAACTAACTGCCACTGACATCTCCAGTGATACTAACACAGTGATCAGTGCTAATAAAAAGCACTGATACTGTATTAATCACATAGGGCAGGAAGGGGTTAATATCTGCGGCAATCAATTAATTGTGTACTGCTTTGTAATTACTGTGTAGTGTTTTACTAGGGGTTGTGCTGCTTTCTATCTCTCTGCTTCTCCGAGAGATTGAAACCAGCACATCCCCGCTAACAGGAGAGAGATCTTTGTTGTTTACACACAGATCTCTCCCCTGTCAGGTGCTCTGCTGAACACCAAGAGGGGATTGACATTTCTAGGAGCCAATGACAGTGCAGGTATGGTTGCGCCCCCTATTTGAAAATACAAAATCAAATATATATACTCTCTTTTGCACAGCACGGCTGCCCTGTAGCAGTACATCTGCTATGGGGCAGTCAGCAAGTGGTTAAAAAAACCTGACTATCTTAACGCAATCTATCTAATTAAAGTAATAAAGTTAATGGACTTAGCTGCCCCCTTCTCTGTATTCCTGCCAGTTGAAATCTTCCCCACCGTTTTTCTTATTCTCTGCCAACTCACCAATGATGTTTTGCACCTGATCTGGTGTATGTGATGCACCGCATTAAATTGTTCTCATGAAAATAACAAGATTTCCCCTGAAATCCTACAAGATCTTGGGGTCATAGGCTTTTTTATTAAGAGATCAGTGCAATGTTGTATGCCTCGTGCTTTACATAAGGGACATGGTGTCATTTTTCTCATCTAGAGTCTTTGTTCCCCTTGGATTTTGGGAGAAAGTGCTGAGATCTCCCTGGAAAGAATTGGTAATATGGCATTCCCAGGAGCTAACTGCCAGACTAGGACTACATCTCCACTGCCTCACGTAACCAGGAAGTAGAAGAGAGGTAATGTACTATAAGTTTACAAATAAATTAATGTTTTTTTAATGTGACTAGTGTGACTCTATGCACCTAACATTTTTAGCTTTAGCTGGTTCCCCGCCGCCCTATAGCAGAACTACTGCTACAAGGTGGCAGGGCTATGCAAAATCACATATATATACGTGATTTTGCATTTCCGGGTAGAGGGTTGGTGTGCTGCCCTAGACAATCCGTCATTGGCAGCTACAGATGTTAATCACCCGGCAATCGCTGAGGAACAGTCAAAGGGGAGAGGTCTATGTGTACACAACACAGATCTCTCCCCTGTCAGCACCAACATGCTGCTTTGCACTGCTCTTCAATCATCTAACCATGTACAAGAAAAGTATCCTTTTTTTTTTATTTCTCCTGCAGGGGCGGACTGACCATTTGGAAACTTGGGCACTGCCCAAGGGCCCGGGGTCAGTAGGGGGCCCCATGAGATGCCCCTGATACCTTTTTCATAGGCTTTTTTGAGTTTGGGCAAGGACACAAGGGCCCCATGATCCCCTATTGCCCGGGGGCCCCATGAGTTGCCAGTCCGCCCCTGTTCCCCTGCATATGATTCAAAGTAAAATTAGCTTAACCTTAAATAAAGAAGAAATCTGAAGTGCAAATAGGCACAGCAAACTTGTACATTATGGCAAGCGTACCTCTGAGTTTGTGCTTCTTCCTGCTGCCACTCTGTCTGCCAACGTTGTCATCTTCTTCATTGCTTCTTCCTACCCAGTGTCTTCACTTTTTAGGCCATCTGGTGGCCAATGATAATGTAACTCGTTAACATGAGGGGTGGAGCTACATTATTTCAGCTCCTAGCTGAGCTCTTAGCATTTCACAGATGGCGGAATTGCATACTGCATTGCGCCTGCACCACAGTCTGTGCAATTTTGAAATATGGCTAGCAGACAGGTAAAGGAGTTTTCAGTAGAAGGGACATAAAAATATCTTCTACCAAATAACTGAACCCCTAGCAACTTTGTAAGTTTAAATTTCAGTTCCACTTTAATTAATTTGACGTGCATATTCACGTTGCTAAGTGAATAGTCTTTGCACTTTTACTATATCAACTGTTATGCCATTGTTTATTGCCACTATATTTGCTTAGGTAAGTTCTGAGCTACATGCCTGCAAAGATCTTACATTTTAAAACTGGAAAATGATCTACTGCTATGTTAATTTCTTTCTTTAAAGACACTCAGATATATTATTGCATCTCTTTTTTTCCAGAAGGAATGCTCAGGACTCCAAAGTAGACTCTTTTTCAAAGTTCTTCAACTTTTTAAATTAAGGGCTAGTCTTCAAACTGTTTGGTAGAATTGTGGATGAAATAGAGAAAAAAAGGAATGATTTGTTGTAAATAAATAATTAATATTTCAGTATTTATATTATGAAGAACGTTAGCCAATGTTTGCAAATAAATATCTACCAGCAGTTTAGTTGAAAGTGTGTGTGTCACACAAACTGATTTCAAGGTCCTTGAGTGCTGCAAAAAATAGTTGCAAGTTTCTGGAGTGCTGCACAAAATTGCTGCAAAATCTCAGTGCTGCACAAAGTGGCTGCAAGGTCCTAGCGTGCTGCATAAACTAGATGCTGAAGATGCTCCATGACCAAACTGACTGTAGGAACACTGAGTGAAGCATAAAACCATGCAGTGACACCAAGTGCCACACAAATTAGGTGCTACAGGGTCACCAAGTGCAACACAAGTTGGCTGCTGGGTCACTAAGTACCATCAAAACTGTCTGCAGGGTCAAAACATGACACACCAATTGTCAGCAGGGTTACCAACTGACTGTAGGATCATTGAGTGTCATACAAAAACTGGTTATGGAAAGCATGTAGCTATTGTGAAATAGGGCCAATCTCAAGGCTGGATTTACACTTTTTTCTCCCTTCTACTGGCTATGTTGTGTCCCCACCCTGCATACAAGCAAGTGCCTTTTACATTGTATCAGTACAATTCCCTCAACACCAAGCTAAAGCCAAAATATACCAAGGAAATAAATTAGCGTTGAGTGAAGCAACTGCATCAACATTCAATATCCATAATGTCCATATATAAACATTGCCCTATAAATTAATTCCAAGTGCATAATATCACACACGTGCATGCTCAAATGTAAAACATAAATAAAGCCATGCCCCTTGAATAAATCTCTACATAAATGGAATCTCATAATTGTTACTGTGAAGTGAATGTCCACCACCTCCTGACAAAAATCTTCATGTCCATCGCACATTGAGTGATCCACTCATTACTGAAAAAATGCTCTTTGTGAAACCTCACCACCACCCTCAGAAAGGAGCACTCACCAAATCAGATAGACAACAAACTAAAGGTCATATTGCATGTTATACTCCAAATCCCAGATCTTCAGACAACAGACCATATATCTCTTCTAGTCCCTCAAATTCCGCAACTGCTCATTTATGTTTTCATTTTTTTATGATGATGCACCTTTGTGATATTATGTTTTACAATGTATCAGTACTACAGCAACAAACCAGGAACATATCAGCAGAGACAGAATCAGTATTTACCAAGCCAGACACATGTCTGAAAACAACCAGTACTATACTGCCAAGACAATCAATATCATATTAAAATAGCCAGAAATATTCACATACCTGGGAATTTGCCGGAATTTACCTGGCAATGTCAAAATTAGGATCCAGTTGTCTGGTTAGTGACAGAATCAATTAATTCCAAAATGGCCCGTCAAGGAATGTTTTTAAACAATAGCGTGCGTGATTTCATGCACACAAAGCTGCCTGCCTGTTGCTGCCATAAAAAGGAGGGGGGGAAGGGAAGAGGTATTTGGTGTGCAACTTCCCACTTATGGCAGGAAACCTGGAGATGCTGGGGCATGAAAGAGTGATACAGCACAGAAGATATCATATGGGATGGTAAAACGTTGACTGTAAAATAAGTCCATTCTGTATTTCCATTTTTGGGGAAAACTCTAAAAAAAAGCACAAGCTGTGACTACAGAAGTAGAGAAAGCAGCCAGGACTCTTTATTTATATATTGTGGAGTCTATGCCAGGTGTTGTTGTACGGTGTATTGGACATTCTATTTACTAACTGAAGATAGAGCAGACTGCTAAATTGATGTCACTTTGCTGAAAGTTTATATCAAATGATTTGTACATATTACATGGCCAAATATGTAACTACTTCCTGCCCGTAGGACATCATATGACATGCTTGGGTTGAAGTGCTTATGCCAGAATGATGCCTGCAGGCAACATCCTGGTATCATCATTTTCTGCTCACAATTCTCTTTTAAGCAGAAGTGGTTTGAGTGGCTAAACAGCCACTTAATTACTTCTGCCAGTGGTGGAATGGTGTCCCCTCCCCTCCCATCACCGCCACCTTTCCTGGGCTCTCACATCCAATCGCAAAATCTGGGACCGATGCAACCAGCAGCAATGATAGCGCTAAACAGACTGACATTGTTCTTCCATCTCTGTGACCCTGGAAATTAGAAGCAATGAGGATTTGGTCACTTCTGGTTTCGGCTCTTTGTTTAATGGGCCATTAGCAGCCAGCTAAACAACCAATCAGACAGATCTGTGTCTGATCAGCTGTATTGGAAACCAGGAGAGAGATTCTAATAGACCCCAAATCTCTTCATAAAGAGGACTCATCACTGCCTATGCTTTCACAAGGAATGTTGTTCATCCCTTGTCAATGCAATAAAGTTGATTAAAAAAAAAATAATAAAGAGACAGTGTAAAAAAAGTTTCAAATAGAATAAATAATAATGAAAAAAAAAATGAAAGTGCCCCTTCCCCTGTGCTTATGCAAGAACGCATAGTTAAGTCCCGTACGCATGTGTAAATGGTGATCGCACAACACTTGTGGAGTAACGTCGCAAACATCAGAGCGAGAGCAATAATTTTAGCTTCAGACCTGCTGTGTAACTCTAAACTGGTAACCTGTAAAGGCTTTTAAAAAGTCACCTATGGATATTTTTAGGTAGCATAGTTTGGTGTCATTCCATTGATGTACACAATTTTAAAGCGTAATATGTTAGGTATCTATTTACTCGGTGTATCTTTTATATTTAAATAAAAAAAAAAAAAGAAAAAGGTATTATATAGTGTTTGTGTGTAATAAAATTCATTAAAGTATATTATATTTTTCCAAAAAAATTGCAACACCCACAATTTTATTCTCTAGGGTCTCTACTATAAAATATATAATGTTTGGGGGTTCTAAGTAATTTTTTAGCAAAAAAAAAATACTGCTTTTTACATGTAGGAGAAAAATGGCAGAATTGGCTCAGTAGGGAACTGGTTAAAGGTTAAAGCTTAAAGCGGAGCTCCAATCTCTGGTGTAAAAATAAAATTCATCAGCTACAAAAACTGTAGTTGCTGATTTTTAAATAACAGCCATTCAGCTGTCCTAGGATCCAGCAGTCCACACCGCAGTCAAGTTCACCGGCTGTCCTGTGTCCCAGCATCTTAAGTGTGGACACCCGGATGTGACAGCTTGCGGCTTCACAGCCAGGTGCCCATTGCGCATTTGTGCAAGCAGCGCTGCGCATTGTGAATGGCCTTGCAGTCTTCTGGGACCTGTCACATGAAGAGGAGGAGAACTTCTGCTTCAGATCGCCCTAGGCAATCGCAGCGGAAGTGGGAGTGGTTACTTTCTCAAATTCGGGTACCCCTTCCTCCCCAAAGGTGCCAATTCTTAACAGGGAGTGGAGGATGAGGCCTTAAAGTGGAACTTCCCCTTTTGGGTGAGTGCAGAGAACTTCCATTTAAATAAAATTAAAGACGATGCCCTAACTTTTTCATTGTCCACCCTAATATATGACATTATACGCCACTGATCAGTCCAAATATGACATTTTACTGTGGATATATAGCATTGATCTACTTGTGTAGGTCACTTATCTATCTAACAGGGGCGGACTGACAACTCATGGGGCCCCCGGGCAATAGGGGATCATGGGGCTCCTGCGTTCTTGCCCAAACTCAAAAAGCCTATGAAAAAGGTACCGGGGGCATCTCATGGGGCCCCCTACTGACCCCGGGCCCTCGGGCAGTGCCCGAGTTTCCAAATGGTCAGTCGCCCCTGGCTACTACTCATTCATGTCTGGGCTGTGGACTATAGTTTGATGACACTGATCCAGACAACATAGAATAACCATCTTAGACACATTTTTTCTGAGCTATCTAAAATGATATACAGTATATTTTTACATATATAATAATATAAAATGTAAATGTGTTTATGAATATTACAGCACACTGTAACAGCTACATTACCTCTGTGAGTTAAAAAGTCTAATTTATTCAAATAGTTTCCGCACTCTAATTTATTTGTGCCATTACCCTTGATGCCATTATTAAATAACAGCACCTCCATAGAAACGCAATGCACTTTGCATTTAAAATTAGCTCAGCAAATAGTCTAAAGTTAACTAAGATAAATTAGAACATCATTATAAATTAATTACACATTGGAAATGGCATTAATATTATAATATGAGAAATGATAGTACTACATAACTAAACCTTCTGACCTTTGGCAAAAAATAAACCTGTCTATGTAATCTAGCATCATAAGTTATAGACCACTGCAAGTTATTTTAATAGGTATTATTCATAGAATGTGAAAGTTAGAGTTCTTTGGAAAAAGTATATATTTTGGAATCATTAAAACCAAAGAAAAAATCAGCTGAAAAAGTTTCAAAAATCTGCACCTCTCATTTCACTGCATGTCTACCAGACAAGGTTTAGCTAGTTGAAAGCACGCTATCTGCTGTCTTCTCTAAAGATGTGAAACCCCCACAATGCTTCTGGTGGTGAGAGACCATGTGATCTTTTGCCTTATGATTTAGGTTACATTACATAAAGATTGTTAAGGCCAAAAAAAGAAGCACTTTTTCCTGAAAATAAAAAAGTGATTTGGTAATGTTGGTGTGTGCCCTACTTAATGTTGTTGGGTGTCCTAAAGAAGCAACTCCAAGAAATGATACTGTTAACTTCTACCTAGGGATCATTGCCATTATGCAGTAGATATCAGAGATGGCATGCCAGTTTACTTCATGGCAGTGGGCCCTCCCAAAACTAGAAACCTGGATCCCCCATGCCACCCCCATGCCACTGGGTGGCCAAGCAGGGGATCCATTGGCAATTTCACATGTAAAGAATATTTAAAGTCAAAACTTTTTATTCATTTTGGATAGAATAATGAGTTATATCCATTGTCTATGTCTCATTAGGGAGACTTTTCTTCACTTCCTGTTTTGTTGACTCAAAAAGAAGTGAGATGATATCTTTCCAATTTGAGATAAGTAAACTCTTAGACAGATGTCACAAGAGCAATGTCCTTACTGGAAGATTTACCTTTTGTTCCTGTTCTAGTGGCAATTCAAAATTTTGAATTTACCCTTGCCTTCATTCCCCATAACACTGGAGATCAGAACAATTAGGGACAGTGAATCTTCCAGACAAAGACAATATACCCTTAATGAAAACGTCTGACCTTAACTCAAGCCCAACAGTACAGATAGCAGAAGAAAATTTAAGACACGGGTTCAAGACAAGTATCATAAAGAATAATGCCTCCATTTTTAGACTTTAAGTATATGACTATCAGCTATCAATGTTGATTTGGAGGCAACATAAACACAAATGGTACAGTAAATTGATGGACAACAACAAAGCAACCCAATGTTCAATATAAAAAAAATTTTTTTTACAAAGTATGTTGTATTACAATATTATGTTATATTATATTATATATTTTATAGAGTATTACAATACTATCTTATATTATACAGCATTACAGTATTTTATATTACTAAATTACTAATATTGGGCTCCATTCAAAAGCAGAAGATACCACACACCGTTATTCCAACATTTTTTTTTTAATTCTCAAAAAAATGTTACTAAAATAATGCATTAGTTATTTTATGAAGTGATGCAGTATTTTAGTAGTGAAAGCATACAGTAATTTTATGCAGGTGGTATCCTTAGTATTTATTAACAGTAATAATTACCAAGTTGCTAAGGAGCGGGCAGCCCTGGACACCTTGACAACCAGTAGTTGTCATGGTTGTTAAGGAGCGGGTGGCCGCCGCGTCCTTAATAACCGATGAGTCATCAGCTGTCAATGGGTTCCCGCTGCCAGCTGAATGTAAACAAAGCAATTGCTGGCAGGTAGAAATTATAGAAAAAAAAACTGTGGGGGGTCCCCCCAATCCAATCTAGGCCCTATGGCCTGTTATGGATATTTATAATAATTTATGTTTTTTACAGGCTCCTGTAGATTACAGGCTCCTGCTCTGCTATAAAATTGTCACAAAAAATAAAATCTAACTAATTAGTCACCAGAAGCTGTTATGGCATCCATATTTTCTTCACTCCAGGTTTATTTGAAGTGACAGATAAAAGTGGACCTCATCTCAAAAGATAATATTTGCTATGCTATGAGGAACATTTAGAAGGGTTAACTGTGCCTGAAAAATCTACCTTGTATATGTAATTCTTCCTAAATATAGCAGAGTACTTTCTGGTATGTGAGGGTTTCTAGGCACTCTTGTACTTACTTATCGTTAATAATTGTGCTGCTGGGGAAACCATCCCTGTGGCCTCACCAATGCTACACCACCGGTGTGAAATATAAGACTCTGCTGCCTATTATTGCCTATGATTGCCATCCTCTGTATATTTGGAGTGAGATTTGGTGATGTCACTATCCTGCTGTTCATTGTTCTCTTTGCCGGAAAGTTCTGAAATGAGGAAGAAAAGCTCCCTTCCTCCACATAGAGGCAACGTTCAGAGCAAGACATGGTGAGTCAGTAATTGGGAAAGATCAGCTGCAGGTAAACCACAGATATTACTCATAAACAGTCCTTTGCACTCTGCCTGCCATTTTTGGGACTTTCAGAGCTCAGCTATTCTTTAAATCTGAATATCCACTAGAGAGAAATATTTAAAAGGAATATTAAAAGCATGGTTCAGCAAGCATTTAGGAATAGGAGAGTCCGGTGAAAAAAATAGTTTTACGATAAACATTATTATACTGTCAAAATATGCACTCTCTGTAAATGCACTCTGATTTCCCTTCAAATAGTAAATATGTCAAAAAAATAACTAAAACTGATTACTTGTACATAGAATAATGCATACCTTATCTTCACAGATGAAGCCTTGAACCGTGAAATTCGAGCCATCAGTAATGGAATTGAAAGCTCGTCAATCCATCTTTTCTCATATTTAGATTCTTTAATTGTTGGAGATGACGGAGAAGACGGGGCCTAAGAAAACAGAAAAAAACACAAATAATATGATTTTTGCAACATCCACCAAACCATGAAAATGCAAAACTCCAGTTTGATTTTTCAATACATTGCAATAATTTATATGGAAACTAACACAATATGGTTAAACAAAATCTTAAAGTATACATTTTTTTTAACAAGCAGGCTAAATATTTATCAAAAATGTAAAGCAGAACTGCGGTCAGGCTATAGTCAAGTAAAGTTAAAGTAAAATTCCACCCAACACCATCCATCTCTTTTGATAATGAAGAGAAGTGATTTGTTCCTGTCTGTGAGACTTTGATGGGTAATTCTCCCCTCACTCCAGCAGAGTCATCCCTGGCATAGATCTTAGTGGTTCCTTTTTTTTAAGTATTAGTTATGCAGAATATACTTTATTACTCTCTCTCTCTCTCTCTCTCTCTCTATATATATCTATATATATATATATATATATATATATATATATATAAAATCAGCCATAACTTTATGACCACCCACCTAATATTCATTTTTTGCCACCATAATAGCCCTGACCCATCAAGGCTTGAACACCACTGGACCTCTGAAGGTATGCAATGGTATCTGGCATCAAGCCACCAGTAACAGATCATTTAAGTACTGAATGTTGTTAGGTGGAGCCTCCATGGATCAGACTTGTTTTTCTAGCACACCCTGTAGTGGATTGTGATAGACAGTCCATGTTTTATTAGATGATCAGTAAAATGACAATTTTATAGTCTTGCTACTTTATGTTTCTTGCTCTTTTAAAAGAAATTCCTTACTCTCTTAAGTAAACAATCAGATATAGGTTGACAGAACAATGATGATAATTAAGATGGCGCCTTCATCTGGAGTCTCACCCTTGGTGACTCATTAGGAGAAAAGTATCTTTTAATGTAAACAACCCCCATAAAAGGGAATGAGTCTCTTTGGGGACAATGATTGGAAGATCTGCAAATATATGTTGCGCTCCTAAATACTTCTCAATAAATAATAATTAAATTATTAACATTAGTAATTAGTAATTATCACACCTGTGGCTCGCAAGTCACTCTGATTCACCTATACCTGTTTACAAATGATTGGAAGATATCAACACGGATGAAAGAACACGCAGAAACCCAGTGGACTTTTCACCCAATCAATGTATATGCTTTGCCTGCATCATAAGCCCTATAAATGATACTGTTAGTTCCTCAATAAAACAGAATTTTAGGAAGTTGGCAAACTGCGAAGTGTCAGTGTCTTACTTCCACGTTCCACTTCCATATTAATTTGGCTCACTGGTAGATCACGGTAAATGGTCTGTAAGTGACCTAGTCCAAGACATTTGGCGCCCAACGTGGGGCCCGGGTTCTGAACACCGGATCAGCCGACCCAGAGTGGACGAGGGGGACCGTGGAGCATTCCAGATGCGGAGACTGATCACCTCCGAAAGCGGTAAGTGAATGTCTAATAATTCCTTACCTGCGTATTCTGGAATTGCCCAGCGGGACTACTCACCCGTCTGGCTGTCCGTTGATCAGCAAAGTGACAGGTATACTTGCCCGGGGCTCCTTTGAACCCACCTGTCAGTATAACGTCATCTACCAGTGTGATATGTCTTGTCTTTTGTGTTGTCTATGTGTACCAGTGTGATTGGTTGGGTTGTTGTTGATGCGCCTGTGAGGGAGGGGAGGATTACGGCAAAATATTCCTTGTCAGGGGTGGACAGGATACACCCTGATTTGAGAGAGGGTGCCGGGAACTCGCAGTCGCAGTAATGGTGACTGACGAGGGGATATCGTAGTCGCAGTAATGG